GGGGTGGGGGGGTGGAGGAGAGACTGGAGCACATCCTGACCAACTGTCTTTTCTAGAGACGACGACTTCACAGCTCTGACATGAGAGCAACACCGTGTGGTTTGTAGTATAATTCTTGCCCTAGACTCAGCAGACTGCAGTTTGACTCCTGCCAGCCCACCTCGTGTCCAGCCACGTCTGGCTGTCCGTGGAGGCTTGGCTGTCACTAGGAAGCGGAAAAAGGCCGGGCAACTCACATCTGAAAATCCCGCCCAGAGGCCAGCGCCACAAGCCAGGCACACGGCTGAACGTACACGGGGTCACTGAGGGCTAACCAGCGGCGGTTCACATCAATCATACTCATAAACTGACAGGATGGCTCGCCAGAGAAGAAGACCGCCCCCACCTTCCTCCAGGCTCGACTGGCTCCGGGTGCTGGTCTTGGAGCTTAGGGACCAAGCACCCAAGGTCCTTCCTCACTCCATTACCCTCATAACTCTCCCATCCAGGCGGCGGGGCCACAAGCACACATCCACAAGTGCCGGCAGGTTAGCTTTAGTTCCATTTCTGACGAAGCAGCTTAGGGACCAAGCACCCAAGGTCCCTCCTCACTCACCCAGGTGGTGACGGGGAGGGGACAGGGCAATGCGGGGACAAGGGCGAGTTATTATGAAACAAGGGTGGTCAATGAGGTCATAATAATGACCTTAATGCATAAAACCCCTCAGGCAAGAAAGCTGGCACACAGTGAGTGCCAGCAAGGCTGAGTGTCAGTCTGCTGCATGGACGCACACACACTGACCGAGACACAGCTCCTGTCACACAGGACAGTTTAGAAACACCTGGGGAGCTGTGGCCAACGGAACGGTGCAACTTTAAGGTTAACCACCCAGCTGGCTTCCTTCCCAGGTTTTGACCTACTTGTCCAGGGCCTCGAGGGGCAGAAACAGTGAGGGCAGCCGGCAAACAGCAGATGCTGAAAGGCCTGGCCCAAGCTGGCCACTGGCCACCAGAGACCAGACAAAAGAACCCACCTTCAGACACCTGGCCTCTGGGCACCAAGAGAATGAACACCTGGTGTTTCAAGCGGCTCCATTTGATCAAATACAATTGGATGCCTCTGACTTGGGGGCCAGCCCAGAAGATGGAAAGTAGCATGGCGGACAGCAGAACCAGCCCACCTGCCATAGGGGAGGGACAGCCAGAATGATCTTTGGAAGTGAGGATAGTGAGACTGACTTTCACACACTTATCAGGAGGGAGGACCAGTCCCTGGAAAAAGACATGCTTGGTGTAGTAATGGGCCATGGAAAACGAGGAAGGAGACCCTCAGGGAGAGGACGCAGTGCTTACAACAAGGAGCTCTAACAGCCACTGTGGTGAGGCCGGGCAGGCCGGGACAGCATTCCTTCTGCGGCACATGGGGCCACTCGCTGTGAGCAAAGGGGGCCCAACAACAAGTTAGTGGCTTTTCTGTCACAGCTGCCCCAGGGCACCACTGGAAATACCCCTGGTGAGTTCTAATGTTTCTCATTCTACTTCCTCTGGCCTCTACCCGTCCAGGAAGGCAGTCCAGTTACTTGTCCCTGGTGTGTCAGGTGGGGCCCAGTGGACCCAGTCATCTGAAGGCTGGCTGGGAGGTTCGATGCTTTGCAAAAGCCATTTCTACCACAGTGGAGTTTTATTCTGATCTCTCCTTCTGCCTCAGCCCCCATCCTGCCTGTCTTGTCTCTGAACCTAAAGGGCATCCCTTTGGTGGGGGGTGGGGGAGGATGCGTGGCAGGGGATAACCACTTTCCTTTTCGTGCCTGCATTTTGTCCCTGTGTACTAAGAGGTGCACCTCTTAAGCCCTGAGCTGATGACCAAAGGACCAGTGGCTCAGCCCCACCAGCACCTCCAAAGGATAAAGGTCTGGCAAAACCCAAAGCGGAAACTCCTCACTGCTGTCGAGTGGATGCCGATTCACAGCAGCGCTACAGGACAGGGAGAATCGCCCCTTTGAGTTCAGGAGACTGTAACTATAGAGCAGCTGGTGGTTTCGATGGCTAACCTTTCGGATTGCAGCCCAGTGCATGGCCTGCTACCACAGGCCTGGCAGTCATCCATCAAGCCGAGTGCCTAGGATCTCCCACCCCTCCCCTCAGTTCTCCTGCCACACAGGGCAGCTGTGAGTCTCCTGGATAAAGGGTCCCGACCTGACCTCTCTTCTCACCCCAGCAGAGCACTTCAAAAAGCATGTTGCATCACCATGTGAACATAGTCAATCAGTACTTTATGTGCTGTATGCAGACAGTTTACATGCGTTTAAATGTAAGCAAGGAGCCCTGGTGACCCACGAGGTTCCACATGGGCTGCTCTCATAAACCTTTTGGGGGACAGTTACATGATGATCTGTGCTGTGGACACACTGTGGGTCAGAATCGATTCCATAGCACGGAGTTTCGGTTCAGTGTCTGCAAAAACACTGGAGATGTTGTTTGTGGTAGACTGCCGCTTGCTTTAAACAGGGCGGTCCTTTGCTCCAAACCTCGATTCCTCTTATCCTCAAATTGAATTTGTAAAGTGTGCTATGTCTTGATGGTACTTCAGAACTGGAAAAGGTTCAGAAGGCCATTTCAGCATTCACGTTCTAAGATTTCATTGCATTTAGCCACACCCACCCACACCCATACACACTAAGATTTCATTGCATCTAGACACACACACACACACACACACACACACACACACACACACACACACACGCTCACAGGCTTCTGACATTTGCTGGAAGTAGCAGAAAGCCTCTGGAACGGATTTCTTCACCGTGGTTAAGCAGTCTGCTAGGAGCTGTAATAAATGAATCATAGAGCCACTCCTCCCATCAGCCCCTTTCACTATTGATCATGCCATTTACTCCCCTCAAAAAAGACAGTAAGTGCATTCTAGCTATTCACAATGCCTCTGGCAGTATTCACAGCAGAGGAGCAGCACTGCCGAGAACTCTGTTCAGAGCAAGCCCCACGTGGGCCTTGGAAGGGCTGAACGCTCCAGATAGGCGGTCTTAAGCCTGGTTCCCTGCAGCGCAGCCCGGTTCCAGCAGTGAGTGGTGGTTGGCGCCTCCATGCACCTCGCTGGGATTCCAGCGTCACAAAGCCCTCACTGTGCTGCTGCGCACCGTGGGTGTATTATGCGTCGGCCCAAGCCACCCACGGGGCCTGGTGTCAGAGGAGCTGCTCCCGAGGGCCTGCCTGCCTGCCCAGGCTGAGTGCCTGCCCGGCAGCTCCACCGGGTCCCTGTCAGCCACACACTGCCAGGCCCTCCCTTTCAAGGGCAGCAGGGCTCCCCGGAGACAAATGAAACCGAGCCTGTTACACAGGGCTCTCGAAAGCAAACTCTGGAATCGCTTGTCGGTACCGCAGGACCTTGAATTTCGGGGTTAATGTCTAATTTCACGATCACAATCACCCGCGATTCTCAAGGCCCAGGTGATGCTGCTGTACACACATTAACTGCTTTTCCTATGGCAGGCAGAGCCTTTTCAATTCAGCTGCTCGGCCAGAGGGGTCAGAAGTCCTGGTAGCCTGGTGGTTTTAAGTTGGGCTGCTAGCTGCTAAGTCAGCAGATCGAACGACCAGCAGCTCGGCAGGAGAAAGAGACTTTCTACTCACAAAAAAAAAGCATCAGAAACTCACAGGAGCAGTTCTACCCTTCCCTACAGGGTTGCGATGTGTCAGTGCGTGCCCGGGGCTGTTTGGTGGCAGAGGTCATTTTGATGGCAATGAAAACTCTACATGATACCGTGATGGGAGCACCCGAGACTGTCCATCTTGTCAACCTACAGGATGTGACTTGTGACTTCCCATGTGTCAACCTCGATTCTCGCTCCTATTATTGCATCAATGTTGTTTCATCCTTTGTAACAAACTTACACACAATCAAAAAAAAGGAACTGCGTGCAGGGAGGCGGAGGGATATGTGAACCCGTGTGCAGTGTACAGGGAGCGGAAAGACATAGAATGCCCCACTTTGGGTGTGCTGTTGGAATAACTAGTGCCAACACCTTTATGGTGTTGGCAATGACACTGATTTTGGAAATAGAATGAAAAGAACGATTTGAAGTCCCTTCGAGTACCACGGACTGCTAGAACAATGAACCCACATGTCTGTCTTGCAGAAGGACAACCAGGCTGTTCTTTAGAAGGCAGTTGGTGAGACTCTGTCTCACAAACTTTGGACCTGGAAGGAGCAGCAGAAAAGAAGACCCTCAACAAGACAGACAGACCCAGTGGTGGCCACAACAGGCTCAAACACAGCAATGATTGTGAGGCTGGTGCAGGATCGGCAGCGTTTTGTTGTGTAGAGCACGGGGTCACGAGTTGAGGCACACTTGACCCCTATCTACTCCAGTACTGCAGTGCCTGGCTGGCAGACCATTTCTCCTCTGGCCTGGGAAGGACACGATGATACAATGTAATTCATGCAACTGCCTTTGAATGCTACTCTTGTAACATCTCAAAATGAAGGCCTGGTCCCCTAACTTCCCTCAAGGTTCCCTTTGACCGGATCTCCATTTCACAGCTGCAGAGTAAGTGAGCAGCAAGCACAGCAGGAACAGCGTCTGCCCCGTTACCAGCACTCCCTGTGGGTAGCGCCAGTTTCCACCAGTGACCCCACTGCACAGTAGGTTGTCGCAGCTTTGCTGGAGCTGGCATCCCATCCACAGCGGTGAATTCGTGGCCTGCTGCTGCTGTCAACATGAAGAACGTGGCTCCCTGCAGGAGCCACGAATCCCTGACCGAGGAAGCCCGATGGCCCCTGGGAAGCTGCTCCCGGTGGTGCTAGGGCGCACATCTGCCCTGCCCCAGCATGCCAGGCACCCACTCCTGGGTCGGTGGCTCCACGTCACACTGGCCGGCCTCAACTCTGCTGGGCTTGGCCAGAATACAGACAGCTGGGCTGCACCAACCAAGTACCCACTCATCACCGAGCAGCCCCCCAGAGGCATGTGTGCCCTCACTCCCACGCAGACGTCACCTACCCCAGAGTGGAGCTGTCCTCCTGGGCTGGCTGGGCAGGGGTGCTGGGCTCTCCGTGCTCTGCGGGGTCCTCAGCCGGCCTCTGGGCCTCCACAGACACTCCCTGCAAAGGGCAGCACAGGGAGGTGCCGAGTCAGCGCGCCCCGCCTCCCACACATCTGTTATTATGAAACCCCTCATTTGTGGCCACGGAGCTGGTGACGCTGCCCGTGTCGCCGCAGCCATGTGACCGGCTGGGTCACTTCTGGGGCTGCTTTCAACCAGGGGGCTGAGCCCACTGCTGCCCAGGGCAGGACACAGGGCTCCCACAGGAAGTCTGTAAAGCTCTGAGACACAGCTGGCCGGGAAACAAAGTGTCAACTGTGGCCCTTCGGGCCCTGGGGCTCGACCAACCTTTGGAGGCTTCTTCCCCAGGGGCACAGGTCACTGCTGGCTTCAGTGTGTGAAAAGCCCTCTCTGGACTTGAAATACAGCACCCCCTTTTCAGTTCAGAGGTGCGGGGTGGGGGTGGGCACAAGCCGACTAGCTAGCGCTTGGCTACATCAAGAAAAGGTGGTGGTTGGATCCACCCCAGAAGCCTCAGAAGCAAGCCCTGGCAATTCAATTCCAGGTCACAGTCATTGAAAACACGATGGACTGTGGACCGGCACTGATCTTCACTGGGGGCGGCCACTCCTAAATTTCCCTGGGATCTTTGCCTAGTCGCACCGGTCCTGAGGGAGGATGAAGCATTGGATAGAGTGACAAGGCCGGGACGGAAGGAGGCGGGCTTCTGCAAACAGCCACTCTGTGGGTACGCGGAAAGTGGCAACGCACAGATGCTCAAAGAGCTGGCAAAAAGGCTACCTGCCAATGACCCTGGGTGTGCCCTAAAAATCGGGTGGTTGTGGATCCTGAGCTAGGGCGCCCCTCCAGTGTGTCTGAGGAGAATTGCGCTCTGTAAACGGTTTCGGTGAAGGACTTTTGGGCAGTTGATGGCTTGGATGGAGGCACCTCCCGGGGGTCAGGAGAGTTGTGTGCGCATGCGCTGGGGGTGCGTGGGTGCTCACCTCGGTGTAGTGCTCTGTGGATGGCGACGACCTGGACCTCTCGTGCAGGTACTGTGCCCTCTCGCGCTGGTTCAGCCCCACATCCAGGATGTCGTCGGCGGAGTGGTACCGGCTGGAGCCCCTGGCTTCCACAGGCTTCCGCTGCTCCTTCCAGGAGGCCTGATACTCCGCAAACGTGCCGAGTCTCTGGGGGGACGGGTCAGCTATCTCGCCTTTTCCTGCTTTCCTGCAAGAGCTGGCGCTTTCCCCAAAGGAGGTGGTGCGCGCCCTCGTGCGTAGCCAGGTCTCCTCGCCCTCGAACCCCTGACCAGCTGTCTGCTGCCGCTCTGCCTTCTCTCGGGAGAGCCCACTCGGGGCCTGTCTCCGCCCCGGCCGCTGGGGCACAGGCCTGCTGGTCTCCTCAAAAAACTTCCACCTGTCAGCAAACGTGCCCACCGTGTCCTCGGCTGGCTCTGGGCGCTGGCGAGGTCGGCAGTGCCCCGAGAGCCCCACCTGGTGCATCTTCTCGGGCTCTGAGTACGATTTCAGCTTCTGTTCCACCGTGAAGCGTCTGCGGCCCCCGATGCGGGGGACGTGGGGCACAGCAGCGCCTCCAGGCAAAGACGGCTTGGACGAGCCTTCCTCCAGGAAGTGGGGGTCAGAGTCCAGCCCCAAGGGGTTCAGAGCTGAGGCGCCGTGGTTCTCAGGCCTGCGCTCTGAGGTCACTGGGAAAGGTTCACCTGGGCTGGGGTCCAAGTCTCGACGCTTGAAAGACGTGGCCCTCAGGACCCTGGCTTGGGCCTCTTTCAGGTGGTCTTTGTAGGTGTTGGTGAAGGAGCCTTCTGGAGGGGTGCCAGGGGCTGCCCCCAGCTCGGCCCTCCAGCCAGCGGGGTCCTCCTCGGCCTCTCCAGTCCCCGCCAGAGTCACCGAGCTCTTGCTCTTCTGCAGCCTGGCTCGCCGCATCTGGATCTCATTCCTCAGCGTGGTGGCAAAGCGGTCGCTTCTCCGAATTGGCTTCCCTACCTGGGCGTCAAAGGGGCGTGGCTTCCCCAGGCCACCCGTGTGGGGGTCTCCTGAGCCGCCATCCTGGTGGTGCCCTGTACGGACCTTCCTCCCTTCTTGGGTCAAGGAGTGCAGCATGGGCGTGTTCTGTGGCGAGATCTTGCTGCTCTCTCCGTGCCCCCACTGGGAGTCACTGTCTGCTGCTCTCATGGGGCTGGCTTTCTCCACATGGCTGGTCTGGGGGGACTCGTCAGCTCCCAAGGGTAAACCCTGCCCACCCCTCTCGGCGGAGTCCCAAGGCTCTCTCTCGCTGGGGTTGCCATGCTGAGGTAGGGAGCACAGCTGTTTTGGGCCCTGCGGGTGGGGGGCCGGGCACCGCCAGTACTCTTCACTCAGCGGGCCAGGCCGCCTGGGGCTGGCGCTGCAATAGCGGCCCTGTCCAGCACCCTCCACCTTCTGGTCGGTGGTGCCCAGCCACCTGGTCTTGGCAGAGCCGCCATCGTCCTGGAAGTGATCAGGGAGAAGCTCCCGGGCCTCCCCCAGGAAGGGCACGCGCTGCAGCACCCTGGGGGAAACAGGGGGTCTGGGGCCCTCATGGAGGAAGGGGCTCTCATCACTGCACTGGCGAGGGTGCTGGTGGCCATAGGGGGGCTGGGCAAAGCGCAGGTCGCAGCTGGACAGTGAGCCCTGCAGCCCACTGGGGCCCCTGAGGAGGCCACCCACCCGGCCGTCAGGCCAGCGCCCTTCCAGAGGCAGGTCCACAGGGTGGCCACAGTTGCCAGACCACCTCCTGTCTCCGGCCCGTGCCAGCTGTTGCAGTGCATCTGTGGGGTCCGCTCTCCATTCAGTCAATGGTGTGCCCCGGGGTGGGGCAGTGGCCACCTCTGAGTACGGGGACCCTGGGGACTTCTCACGGCCCTTGGTGGCAGCAAAGCTGTCACTGCGCAGAGGTGGGGGGGGAGGTGGGGGCGAGGCAGGGGCCTTCTTCTTGTCAGGGACATACCAGATGGGCCCGAAGTTGGACCTGGCCGGGGCCTTCGGCTCTGGGCTGCCCTCCTGTCTGGGGCTTTTGCTGCTCTCATGGTGGTGGCCGGCAGGCAGATGGGCGAGTCGCTCCTCCAGGCCATGAGTCAGGTCACCGCTCAGCGAGGGATGCCTGTTGCCGCTGCCTGGTCTCGAGCTCTCCCACAGCCCCACCTTGTACAGCAGGTTCTCTGTGGAGGAGCCATCCGCCCTGGGTAGCGTGTGGTCCGGCGTGCTGGAGCTGGTGGAGAAGGAGCCATAGGCCGAATCACGCTTGCTAGGGCCCCCCAAGTGGTCGATGCTGCTGTTTGACTTGGCAGCTGACAGGCGGCCAGAGGGGCAGGGTTGGGCAGGAGGGTCCAAGCTATCGACACTCCCCAGGGAGCTGAAGTGGTCAGAGGTGCGCTGCAAGTTGGTCTGCTCCCATGTGCCAGACAGGTCATGGGAAGACGAGCTGGAGAGAGAAATGGGCAAGAAAGTTTGCTTTAGGACAAGCGGCAAAGAAGAGAAAGGCAGGGGGAGGGAGGACAAGGTGCTTTTGGAAAGGACTAGCCCCTCAGGCACTACAACATAGCCCCTCCACATGCAAGGCAAGAAAGCAGGGAGGGAGAAAGCAGGGAGGATGCTCCTGAAGGTGCTGACATGCGCACACTCGGGTCCCAGACACACGCGGTCCCTGGGCCTGGGGTCTAAATCAACAGGTCTACATCTGAGCATCCTTTCTAAGGTTAGGTTCTACTCAAGTAATGCCCTTCTCTTTAATTTTCTGAAATAAAACAGACAACATAAAACCCAGTAACTTTAAATGCCAGTAGCACCTTTTCTCATGAAAGTCTATGGACTGGAGAAACTGCCTAGGCAGCATTAACCGAGGTTAGCAAACAGCTCACGAGCTTACATTGGGTTTGCAAGTTTTCATATGGTTGGGGAAAAACATGAAAATCCCGGTATTTCATGACACATGAAACTTATATGGCACATTTCCATGTTCGTAAATCAAGCTTATTATTAGTCCACAGCCCTGGTCATTCATGGCTACTGTCACACTAGAGAGGTTGAGCTGAACAGCTGAGACAGATGCAAGGGCTAAAAGGCAAAGAGAATTCACTATCTGCCCCTGCAAAGAGAAAATGTGCTGACCCCCAGGCTAGCGTGTGAAATGCTTCTGATTATGGATCATTCATTCTCTCTGTTTCGCTCTCTCACCCACACGCGCTGCCCCAAGTCAATTCTGACGTCTGGGACCCTAAAGGGCAGAATAGACCTGCCTCACAGGGTTTCCAAGATGGTCATCTTGCGGCCAGTACTTCAGCTACTACCCCAGCTTCTATAACTCAGGGTCATAATTATGACAGCATCCAAGACAAAATAATAAGTGAGGCTATCCAAGGCTAATGAAGAAATTATTTATTCCGTGATGTAGTGTGCCATTTGTCAGGCTGGATGGGGAAACAATGTATTACACAGGCATATTAAGTTTCATTATAATGATTTGTTATGTTTTTTATCATAAAATGATAGTGATGACTCTAAAGTGAACTAGAGGTGTACAAAGGGGTACACTCCCCCCACTCGCACCCCCGCAAACCCGGAATTTTTCCCCAAAAGCTATGTTTTTAAATTGCTTTACAAAACAACCTATCACCTTTAAAGTACTCCCCATTATACTCAATACATTTGTCAAATCTGTGGTTCCATTCTTGGCAACATTATTCAAACTCATCTGCTTGGATGGCTGATAGCACCTCCCCTCCTTTTTTCCTTCACCTCTTCTACTTCGTTAAATTACTATCCTTTCATGTCCCTCTGCATTCACGGCAACAAAAAGAAGTCTCATGGAGTGAACTCAGATGAATAAGGTACGTGGGGCAAGAGAGGCAGACTGTTTTTTTGCCAAAAACTGGCCCATTGAGATGGCTATGTAAGCAGGTGCATTGTTGTGGTGGCAAAACTAGTCCCCTGTCTGACAAAAATCAGGCTTTTATAGCACACTGGTGCATAATCTTTCCAGAACCTCTAAATAGAAAGCTTGATTAACAGTCTGACCTGGTGGAGTGAACTCCAAATGCACTACAAGTTGACATTTTCGTCTGTTTGGGAAGTTGACGGACATCCCGAACAAGGTTTGTCACCCACATTTCACCTTTTTTGAAATGAGAAAACCACTTGTACACTTGCGTTTTCCCCATAGCATTTTCCTTGTAAGCTGTGTTCAACATCACAACAGTTTCTGCAGCAATTTTCCCAAGCAGGAAACAAAATTTCACAGCCGCCAGCTGTTCTCTTAAATTAGCAATCACAAAAAAACAAGGTTCGAGTGAAACTGCTTTTATGAAAAAATTCACTGTGACCAGAGAGTGCCACTGTGTGCACAAACTCAGAGCAAGTTGCTCGATGCTCGCCTAGCTGGAAAACGTGTACTACAAAAGTTCCACTATGCCCAGCACAATTCTGTTTTTTTGGGGGGTACCATCTCGTATATAAACCACTGGGCAAGCACTTAACTTTAGCCCCAACCTAAGAACAATTAGTTCTTAAGACATGACCCTATCCAAATCTCACCCTCATGAAGAGATCACTGAAGATATGGGTGCTATAGCAAAGTGTGGTGAGGAGCCCAGATGGTGCCCAGATGTCAGAAAGTACTGTCTGAGGCCTTAAGGGCTTGTCTCCAAACAAGCAGCCAGCAAATGATGCATTAACTAAATCCACATGGAAGAAACACACCAGCCAGTGTGGTCCAAGGTTTGCAAATAATAAAATCCAAATCCGAAGGAGTGAATGGTATCAGAGCTTACACTGTAAACAGAAGGAATCCCTGGCAGGGTAGTGGTTATACGCTGGGCTGCTAACCATGAGGTCAGTACTTCAAAACCAGCAGCCAGCTCCAGGGGAGAATGGCAAGGCTTTCTACTCCCATGAGAGTTACAATCTCAGAGACCCCCAGGGGCAGACCTGTCCTGTACTAATAGCATGACCTTGAGTAAGAATTGACTCGATGGCAGTGACTTTGGTTTCTTGGTTTTATGGATGACACTGGAAGCCCATAATCCATGTGTGGGGTCCCCATGTGGATTAAGTCTCCGGCGAATTCCCTCTGACTATTGTTCAGGGATTTGAATAGCCTTGCTAGCAGACAGAGGACACTGTAAAATAGATTATGGCAGATGTTGTCAGGTACCATCGAGTTGGTTCGGACCATAGTGACCCCATGCACAACAGAACGAAACACCGCAAGGTCCTGTCCTCTCCTGTTCCTATGCCTGAGTCCCTTGTAGCCACCACGTCCATCATCTTGTTGAGGGCCTTCCTCTTTTTCATTGCCCCTCTACTTTGCCAGGCATGATGTCCTTTTCCAGGAACTGGTCTCTCCTGACAACATGTCCAAAGAATGTAAGACGAACTCTCACCATCCTTGCTTCTAAAGATCACTCTGGCCGTACTTCTTCCAAGACAGATCAGTTGGTACTTTTAACAGTTCGTGGTACTTGCAATAGTCTTCTCCAGCACCGCAGTTCAAATGCATCGATTCTTCTTTGGTCTTCCTGATTCAATGTCCAACTCTCACATGCATTGGAAGCAATGGGAAAAACCCTGGCTTGGGTCAGGCTCCCTTAGTCCTCAAAGAAACATCCTTGCTTTTAAAAATTCTAATGAAGTCCTGTGCTAAATGCAATGCGTCTTTTGATCTCTTGGCTGATGCTTCCATTAACATTTCATTGTGGATCCAAGTAAGACGAAATCCTTGACAACTTCAACTTTTTCTCCATTGATCATGATGCTCCCTATTGGTCCAGTGAGGATTTTGGTTTTCTTTACACGGAGTCATAATTCACACAGAAGACTGCAGTCCTTGATCTTCATCGGCAAGTGCCTCAAGTCCTCCTCACTTTCAGCAAGCCAGGTGGCGTCATCTGTATATACCAGGTTGTTAATAAGCCTTCCTCCAATCCTGACGTCACATTCTTCTCATAATTCAGCTCAGCAAACAGACTGAACAAGTAAGGGTGAGAGGTCACATCCCTGAAACACACCTATCCTGAATTTAATCCATGAAGTGTCCCCTTGTTTTGTTCACTCAACTGACTCCTGATCCACGTATGTACAAGTTCCCAATGAGCACAATGAAGTGTTCTGGGATTCCCAATCTTCTCAAAGTTACACAGTTTATTCTGGTCCACACAGTCTAATGCTTTTGCATAGTCTGTGAAACACAAGTCAACATCTTTCTGGTATTTTCTGCTTTGAGCCAAGATCATCTGACATCAGCAACGATATCCCTTATTCATGTCCTCTTCTGAATCCAGCTTGAACCTGTCAATGAACCCTGTCAATGAACGCCTGCAACCTTTGGTGGATGAGCTTCCGCAAAATTTGCCTTTCTTGAGATATCAGCGATACTATTTGAGCATTCCGTTAGGTCATCTTTCTTTGGAATGGGCACCAATACGGAGCATCTTCCAGTGAGTTGGCCAAGTAGCTGTCTTCCAAATTTCCTGGCATAGATGAGTGAGTGCTTCCAGTGCTTCACCAGCTTGCTGAAACCTTTCAATGGGTATTCTATCAATTCCTGGGGCCTTGTTTTTGGCTAATGCTTTCAGTGCAGCTTGAACTTCTTCCTTCAAGCACCATTGGTTCTTGCTCATACGCTGCCTCCTGAAATGGCAGATGGTCAACTAGTTCTTTCTGGTACAGTGCCTCTGTGTATTCTTTCCCTCTTCTCTTTGCAATTGGAGGCTTGCTTTTTTTTTTCTTGAGATATTTCAGATATGCTGGGAGTGTTCTTCCTTTTTGGTTTTCTAATTCCAGGTAATTTCATGTTTCATTATGATATTTGGCTTCTAATCGACTCTTTGACTTCATCCTTTCTTCTGTTCACTTCAGCTACCTACTCTACGATTAAAAGCAAGTTGCAGAGTCTCTTCTGACACTCACTTTGATCTTTTCATTCTTTCCTGTCTTTTTGCTTCCTTCATGAGTGATGGCCTCCCACAGCTCATCGGGTCTCCTGTCATTCGTGTTCAGTGGGTCGGATCTGTTCTTGAGGTGTTCTTAAAATTCAGGTGGGATTGACTCCAGGTCTTACTTTGGCTCTCATGGACTTGTTTTCATTTTTGTCAGCTTCATCTTCAACTTACACATGAGCCATTGATGGTCTGTTCCACAGTCAGCCCCTGGCCTGGTTTTAGCTGGGGATATTGAGCTTCTCCATTATCGCTTCCCACAGATGCAGTCAATTTGATTTCCGTGTGTTCCATCTGGAGAAGTCATCTTTTGTGTTGTTATAAAAGCTATTTCCTATGAACAAGTCGTTGGTTTTGTAAAATTCTATCACTTGATGTCCACCTTCGTTTGCATCGCCAAGTCCATCTTTTCCAAGTCCTGTTCCTTTCTTGGTTTTCAACTTTTGCTTCCCAATTGCCAATAACTATCAATTAATGTGGATACATGTTTGATCAATTTCTGACAAGTCATTGGTAGATTTCAAGTGCGTCCTCACCAGTTTTTGTGGTTGGTGCATAAATCTGAATAATGGTTGCATTGATTGGATTTCCTTGAAGGCGACAGAAACAATCCTATGACAGACAGCATTGTACCTCATGATCAATTTTGCCATGTCCTTCTTGACAAGGAATGCCAAGTCTCCTGTGTTATTCCCAGAAGAGCAAATCAGATGATTTTCTGATTCAAAATGGCCAATATCAGCACATTTCAGCGCACTAATGCCTAGGATACTGGTCTTTAGGCAGTGAATTTCATCTTTCACAGCTTCCAATTTTCCTAGATTTGTATATTCCAAATTCCAACCCTTAGCAGATTTTTGCAGCTGTTTCTCCTCACCTTGAGTCATGCCCCATCAGCAACTGAAGATCCCTAAGGCTCCATTCCCATAGGGGTTCCCCAACTCAAGTCACCCTGGTCAACTGTACTTTGAGAAATCAGCCTCACTTCAGTCACAATTCGAGTGCCCTTAGACCTGAGGGCCTATCCTCTGGCACTATCTCCAACCATGTTCTGCTTCTGTTGTTCAGGCCATCAGTATCTGACATTGTCTTGAAGCTCTGCCTAAGGTTACAGCGGGTGTAGTGAGCTTAAGGTGTAACACCTTCTCATTTGATCTCCATTTTAAAGTTGTTTCAGTTTTTAGTATATTCTGCTTTCTTTTCGACCAAGGTTTTTCTGTGTTTTGTCTAGTCATTATTGTTGGGTTTTGTTTTCTGTATATGAAATCCAGGGTAGGTGGACTTACAGGGACAGCAACTGGATTGATAATTGCCTAGGGGCGTGTCAGGAGAGGCTGGGGGAATGGGGAGCTAACAACAGTGAGTACAAACGAGTAGAAAATGTTCTGAAATGGATTGTGGTGATGATTGTCCAACTCTTCTTAATATAACTGAACGGTTAAATTGTATAATAAGTGAAGTACATGCCAATAAAACTACTTAAAAATGTTTTTTCATTACAGGGCGACAAAGCTGCAACCTTCAAGTTTCAAAGGGGAAAAAAACAGGAGTACATTATGTTTAGAGGCCCTGGTTTCCCAGTGGTTAGAACATTCAGCTGCTTGCCGAGGTCAGCAGTTCAAATGCACCAGCTGCTCCAGGGGAGGAAGTTGTGGCCATGGGCTCCCATGTAACACAGAAATGCCACAGGGCCAGTCAGTCCTGCTTTGTCCTGAAGAGTCACTAAAGTGGGAACCAACTAGGCCACAGTGGGTTGGTTTAGGATTTTTCAGAAGAAAACCCCATGCTGAGCGCCAGGGGAGGACAATGACCTGGCCCAATGGCCTGAACGAAGAAGGTGGACCGCCAGGTGTTTCACACCTGTTCCCAGGTAGGAATGTTTTCTTGCTCTCTTCCCCAAATTCCTGGGTGACTTTTCCGCATAGTCCAGGTGTGAGTGGGTGACTTTTCCGCATAGTCCAGGTGTGAGTGGAGGTGGGCCTTCGCAGAGCAGATCCAATCTGTTGTTGCCACAATGAGACCAGAGGTCCCCCTTCAATAAAAGTCCACTGGACTGACTGAGGGTCTGTGGTTTTCCAGAAAGCCAGGAGGTGATTCCATAAGTATTGGCAATGCATTTTGTTCACACCATAGGCACGTTTACTCTGAAACTGTCTGCAGAGCTGCGGCTGCTAACGGGCAAAGTGTACCGTGAGAGGCTGCGTGAGCTCCAGGTGTAGGTGGGCAGGCTGTCTCACACACACTCCACACTTGTACAACCAACAGCGCCACGTGTGTACATGACAGTCTCATCATGCACACACTGAGACGCTCACAAGCACACACCTGCAAACGCACGCTCCCAGTCACACAGGCAGGCAAACGCATACATGAACTCACAGAACAAGAGGGAGCGCACACCCAGGAAGATTCCTCTCGGTGTTTTCATCTCTCTAGTTTACATGTGCCACACAGCTGCCTGCGGAGTAAAATTATTTACAAAGCTCTAAATGAAGCAGGGGCATCCGTGGACTTGTCCTCTCCAGGGGGTGGAAAGAGGAGGTCCAGAGACGAAAGGGCTGCCTTGCTGGGTGAGGAGAGGCTGGGCTGACAGGCTCGGGGTCAGACAGCTGAGGAAGATGGTGGGGCTGGCGGACACAGGGTGGGAGAGCGGAGGGAGAGGCTGGAGCTGACAGGCTTAGGTGGGAGAGCACCTACCTCACGTGATGCCGGACGTGCCAGGACGGGCAGGTGCCTGCTGCAGAGAATGGAGTGGCCATGGACTCTGGGGCACCGTCACTGAACTTGGTGGCATGCCAGGAGTGTGGCCTCCAGCTCAGCTCATTCTTCCTGAAAAAGAGGCAGACGGCTCAGGACTCACACAGAGGGCATCGATGCACCAGGTCAGGGCACATGCCCCCTTCCAGCAGGACTGCCGCTGCAGGACCCTTCCAGCTGGGTTGCTGCTACACTTAAGTCTCGGTGGACACCAGTGGTGTGTGCACTGCACCTAACCCAACGCTGAAGTTTGAGTCACCCCAGAGGCTCCCCAGAAGAAAGGTGTGGCCACCTACTTCTGAGACGTCCTACCCCGATGCACATGGGTCCACTCGACAGCAGCTGGTTGCTGGTCCACGATCCCCAAGCCAGGACACTCCCATTGTCATTACTGTTCCTGATGGATGTGCTGCACGGGATTCTGACCTCCACAACTCAAGCCAATCCTTACTCTTCCAAGTCAGTGCAGAGGGGACAAACAATCCCAGAAATTGCAAGTAGAAGCCCAGAACCCAGGCAGCTGCCATGGCACCAACCCCAGTCTCAGGGTCCACGTTGTGCCAAAGGAATGGAACGCCCTATCGAGTGCCAATAGCTTCAACCTGGCGGAACTAGATCAGCAGGCCTTTCTTCTGAGGCACCTAGCCTAGGTGGGCTTGAACCGCCAACCTCCCCACCAGCAGTGCTCACACTTTGCACCCTCTGGAATTGCTCTAAGAAGGAGTCAGTAAATATTGTTCAGGACCCTGGGCATCCTTGAGGACACGCAGTGGCTGGGACACATTCTCAGAGTATGCATCTTCCATAATGCACTCACAAAGGAAGTTTCTAAAGGCTGCCTGTGGCTGCCGGCGGGGTATACCTGTGCACTCATTCTGTGTCTGACAGCAGCATGTTACCTGTGATATAACTATGGCCCTCAGACATCGGTGTACACGTGTGACCTCAGCCCATTCCTGTATGTCAGCAGGTGCTGACGTTGTCCACACACCCCTGTACCAGAAAATGAGGGCCCTGACCCAGGGCAGGGTGAGTTAAAGCAGGACCTAATCTGACATGAGCTACAGGGAACGCGCAGCACGCACGGAATGCATCACACTTTGGCAACCATCTGCAGGTCCAAGACCGTACCTCATCGAGGTCCTCAGGATCCTGGTCAGAAAGGCTCTGGCCATGCGCATGTCGCACTCAAATGGCTTTTCCTGCGCTACCATGTCCACACCTGCTCTCCTCTCTCTTACAGGTCAGAAACGACGGGGTGAGCTTGGCTGACCAGGTCTGACGGCAGAGGAGAGAAAGAAACAGGCTTGGAAAAGCTAGTGCCCTATACTTCGGAGTGATGGCACCCTCACATGAGAGGTAAGCGTTATTTTCTAAGTGGGCTGAGCGTGAGAGAACCGCAGGCATCCCACATGCAGGCTGGGGATGCCCTCACACCCTCTGGGTCTGGGCATTGCACTAAGCTCACAGAAGCACTGGGCCCGCCACTCTCTTCTCTGGTCACACCTCAGACAGCAAGAACCAAACACCCATGCCCATCACCAGCTCAGGCTCTCAGATCTTGGCCAGGAAACCCCAGTCACCTTGGACAGGTGTGCAGATGCCTCTCGCCACAAAAGGAAAGCATGCAGACAATCTTCCTAGGCCACGCATACGCGTAGTTACTCGGAGAATACAAAGTCCCTTGATTTGCCCCTCTGTAAAACGGGGCTTACTGTCCGCCTCCCACAGGCTCCAGTCCTTCAGAAATGAAGCACTGGGGTTCAGGCAGAATGGATGCTAAGGCCTGGCCTTTGGCACCAGCTCAGGAGGCGACTGGATGGTCCCGCTCCAGTGCCTCCCTCACTGCCAATGGAAACACTGGGCGTGGTCCGAGAGGAGACTCTACGTACCAAGGCCCACAAAGGGCAGCCCAGCACCGCCAACTGCACTGGCAGCCACTCCAAACACAAGCAAAGTCCCGGCCTCCTCCAAGGCACGGACCCTCAGCACCCCTGTGTGTGCTCAAGAACCCCTTCAAAACGATTAGCCCACTGAGTCCTGGCAGCAACCACAGGAAAGGTGGCAGGAGAAGTGTGGTGCTTTCCTTACGTGCTCAAAGAAACCAAGTGTCGGAACCAGGAGGAGAGACTTCTCTGCAGTTACTGCTCTGGGATGCACTGGACCATTATATGGTCACCACGTCTTCCTGGTTGCCTCAGAGAGAATGGTGAGAATGTGAATGTGCCCATGTCTCTCGAAGCAACACATGCCGACAAAGCCACGCAGAACACAATCGAATGGCTCTGGCTTATCACCTGGTTCTAAGTTAGGCACACTAATTTCCGGTAAGCCAACAGGATTCATTTTTAAAACTGTATGTCATTTTCTGGACATCTTGCTCCAACTGGCTTTCTGGTGCCACTGCTCTATGGCCCTTCAAGTCATACAAAAGCTCACGCGCTTAGAGTGACAGTCGAATCGTCATTTCTAAGGTACCCATAGGCTGGGTCACAATCAACACAGAAGGGGCTCCAAAACGTCTTTGGGAAACTCCAAAGTTTATCTTTCCACTCAATTTCCCCCACAAACTTTTTGGAACCCCTTCCTATCTAACTGTGGAACATTTCCATCAGCCCCCAAAGAATCCTGAATTCCCAATCACCACCCCCTCCCCTCCCCATGGTCCCCTCCATCAACCCTACACAACCAACCATCCACCTTCTGTCTCTATGGATGCTGAGGCCTGGGACCATTCACACCAATGGAATCAGGTACCACGTGGCCTTTTGCACCTGGCTTATCTCACTTGGCATCTGGTCCACGGTTCTGCCTCCTCAGTCCACTGTGTGGACACACGGTTTGGCATTGACTGACTCCTCTGCCCATGGCATTTGAGTTCTTTCCACGGAGGGACCACTGTGAAGAGTCCTGCTTTCAATATATGCTGCACACATTTCCATGTGACCACTTTTAAGGAGGCCATCAGCAAGCAAGACCACTGGTGTTTGGAAATTTCTCCTCTCTCAACTTGCACATGTGAACTTTTCTGCAGTGACATTTTACAATGGGTGGATCTCCATTACATACCACCTCAATTATGATTCAACATTCATTCGATGGTTACAAAAAAGCATACATACAGAGGGGGGAAAATCTGTTTCCTAGCAAGTACTCACTAAGCAACAACTTACAAGTAACAGGCGTTACAAGAATATGTTAAAACTTCCTTATAGTTGGGATCCGTCATCAACATTATCCATCACATTGACAAGAAAAGGGGCAAGAATCACAGGATAATATCAGTAGATGCAGAAAAAGCATTTGACAACATTCAGTACCCATTCCTAATAAAGACATACAAGAAATAGGATGAGAGGAAAATTGCCTAAATATAATAAAAGCTATAGATGAAATTCCAACAACAAGTATTTACAAGCAATGGAGAAAAGACTAAAATATTCCCACTGAAAAAGGGGACCCAACAGGGATGCCCTTTATGCCCACTTCTATTTAACATCATCCTAGATGTCATAGCTAATAAAATAGCGCAACGGAAGGACATCAAAGGTATACGTTTGGGTTAAGAAGAAGTGAAATTCCCATTATTTGCAGATGATATGCTTTTTTATGTTGAGAACTCCAAAGGCTCCACAATAGGATTGCTGGTAGAGTCCACACAGAGGACTATGGTAGAGTGGCTGGATAGAAGATCAATAAGCAAAAGTCAATTGGATTGCTATATACCAATGAGGGGACAGCAGAAAAAGAGATCAAGAAAGTAGTACCCTTCACAATAGCCAAGCATAACTTGAAAAATCTAGAGCTATACAAAAAAAAAAATCTGTACAAAGAAAACTACACAACATTGCAGATTCTTGACAGAGACCAAAAAGAAAGGCCCGGTATCCTCCTTCCAAACATCAGTGAGAGATAACCTTGAACACTATAGAAGGTTTTCTAGCTTTGTGCTGGAGGATCCACCAGCAAGATTTGAAACACCACTACCCTCACTGAGAGGATAGCTGTCTCAAACGGTGGGCCTAAAAGGAGGCAGAAAGGCCTGGCAATCTACTTCCAGGGTCAGCCAATAGAAACTCTAAAACTTGTGTCATCAAAGTTTCAGCACTAAGGGAGACAAAGCACCTGGAGGAACAAAGACCTGGCTGTCAACCACCAAACACATGGGCATGAAAAGCTATGCACCCTTATAGCACAGAGTGATATGGTCCATGAAACTATGACATCACTCCCCTCCCAAATTCAAAAGATAAGAGTTTATTGAAGGAACATGTTCTTCTTCCATCAGGATCTTGGTAAATAAATAGGTGTTTAAGTTCTTTCTTCCTTCCTTCTTTTTTTTAATTATGTAACAGAGCTTGGCTCAGCAAATAAACTTAAAAAAATCATTTTATTGGGTGCTCATACAACTATTATCA